AAATATTTTCCACTCTCAGGGAGAAAGGGGAGAAAAAAAAAAAAAAAMAAAGAGGGCAAGCTACTGGGAAAAGTTCTGATATCTACGCTATGTTTATCTAAACGTAAGAATTTGAATGATAAATTTTAAGTAAAATTCTATGGCAGGAATATTATTTTTGATAACATCATAAAAACTGCTATAAAATTACAAAGAAAATCACTAACTTATTGTCATAGAACACAGGACTTATTTTACCATCTTAATGCTTACTTTAAACTTGTACAAAATGAACATAAGTTTATAATAAGYAGATAATACATAACAGTTATATATATATAACTATAATATATATAATATATATAATAAGTAGATAATACATAACAATCTGTACTGCTGAAAATAGTTTCATGAACCAGTGGAGAAAAATAACAGTCTGGAATGAAAAAAAATGTTCACTTCACCATAGAAAAGCAACCGAAGAAAACACAAATACAATGCTGTAACATATTTTTTCTACTCGATATTAATTTTTCTAGGTGTTAACRTAATGAAAAGGAAGTTAGGAGCCCATGATAATCTGAAGATCATTATTCAACAAGACGGAAACAAATTTACTGTCAAAGAATCAAGTAATTTCCGATCCATCGAAATTGTATTCACTCTAGGAGTTAATTTTGACTACAGTCTGGCTGATGGGACAGAACTTAATGTAAGAGATTTTTGATTTGAAAACAACTTTATGAGAAACAGATTTAAGATGAATGATAGGTCTTTCTACTTTTAACTTCTAAGGTCTTTAATGGTGTGACTGTGCAGCTACGTTTGTATCTTATATGGAAAAACACAAGGTACTCTCAATTGTTAACAAAACATGAAGCTCAGAGCTAGATAAAATGCTCAAAAAGGAGATTAACCAAAAAATTCCAGATGTTGAAACTTGTTGCAATTGTACTGCTTGTACCTAAAGCAAACGGTGGGTATTTCTAAGAAATAACTTTGTCATTTACAGAATTCATTAAAATAAGGCATACTAAACACACACACACACATATATATATATATATAAACTACCAGCTTGATTAACACATAATTAAAAGTAGCTTTACTAAATATTCCATTTTTACAGCATTTTTGACAAATTCTTCATACTCTTAAGCACTGACACAGTCTTTATGTGAAATCAGTGCCACCTTTATTAGAAAAGGGGTGTTTGTTTTATTATTTGCTTTTTTTCTCCCCCCTTCACAGGGCTCTTGGAACACAGAAGGAAATAAACTTGTAGGAAAATTTACTAGAAAAGACAMTGGAAAAGAGCTCACGACATTCAGAGAAATCATAAACGATGAACTTGTCCAGGTGAGCCAAGCAATAACTTATATGCAACTTAAAACTACAGTRAACCGAAACATATTCAAAGCTGTTGCCAGAAAGCTAAATACTTTCTTCAAATTACCTACCTTTAATTAAAATTCTCATATGAAATTGCCAAGATATGTTTCCTGCTAATGTGAACTGTCTTACCAATGCTTTCTGAACTCTGTAAATAGAAGATATCATACTGTGCCCATGCACTTTATGACTCAAATGCATCTCCCTATCAAAGTCTTGCAATGCCAGCATCTGTGTACTACACATGTACAAAAAATTTATCTCAATAAAATCTGTAAAATAAATTGTCATAGTTACTGACTTTTCCCCCTAATTTCCTAACAGACCTACATATATGAAGGAGTTGAGGCCAAGAGAGTCTTCAAAAGGGGCTAAATACTTCATCCAGAGCAGGACCAGAAAAAAACAAAGGCACCTACGTTTTTCTACATATCCTCTTCCCCAGCCTCCCGCTTTCACTCTCTCACAGCATCAAGTTGAGATTACTTGCCCTGATGAGAACATAGGCTATTTCCTTGTATCTTTTGTCTTGACTACAACACATCAACTAAAGTTTGCTATAAGTACTGAAATGTTGTTAGTACCAAGCCCTATCTGAGTTCCATAATGTTAAAGTCTGCAGAGAATATTTTCTACAGATGGAAATAAAGTATTTTGAGACTGTTTCTCAAATGGCAACTTGGTTTCCTTACCATAATATTCATGTCAATAAGAGATGTCACTGTGTATTGAATATTGTATATTAAAGATTACAAAATATAAAAGAATCTCGAAAATAGACAAGCCTCTAATATTACTATAGGTATTATTATATGTAGAGAACATGAATAAAAACATGGAARGTATCTTAGAAAGATAAGGAAAGACTTTTCACTTGACTCTTTTTCTTGACTCTCTTTGATTGTCCTTTTCTAAGAAATAAAGGAAAAGAGAAAAATATTTTTCTCCTGTTGTATCTTTACTTCTCTAGTCTACCTTTTTGTTATCTTCATAGTGTCATAGCTCCCTCTATTGGTAAAATGTTCTCATGAATCAAAAAAAAAAAAAAAAAGTTTTAACTACAATTAACACATAGCATCCTTCATCATAAATTGTTTTTTTCCCCTCCAAATACTAGTTGCATACAATTTCCTGTGCACAGACATTATACAGAGTTTAATTTTGGTGGACAGATATACTAGATTACRAAGAAAATTTTACACAGTTCTTCAGCAAAGAGAAGTAAAATGAGAAATCAAACTATGAAAGAAAAAATCTGAAATTAAAATAGTACAAAATTCTCTGCAACTGAAGGTTGTTTTAAGTACTCAAGTCTTTAAAGGAGAATAAGAAGAATACCACCTTGCAATAAACTCCATGACAGCTTCTTTCACTAAGGCTATGTACATGCAATGTGAGACCTAAACTATAAAGCAGAGGTCCTAACCATTAAATTTCCATTACAGAGTTTGACCTTCATTATCAGCTGTATATCATTACTGCTTCCAAACTATACAGGAACATATTAATGACTATACCTCAAAGGGTGCATGAAACTGGAGGAAGCCATTTTATTTCCTTAAAGACCTCATTGGCTGAAAACTTTATTAGGTTTGTTAATGTGTTCTGTTTTTTCCCTGACTATGCTGACTCTGTAACATCTCRCACCCTTCTGGTTCTGAAAGTCAAACTCTACCCTGTACCTGGTATCAATACAATTATCTCTACCACACCTGCAGCACGATGTACATTGGCCCATAATTATTTTCATCTAGATTATTGGATTTCTTTTACTGAGTGGCTGTAACAGGAAGGCATAATTAATAGGATTTTCTTTCTGTGAAATACTTCAGAAATTATTCTAGTAATTTTTGGAGGGATGACGTACAAGACCATGAACTGGTCTAATGAAAACTAATGTTTTCATTAAAAAAATCCAAATACATAATTTGTAAAACATTTAACAATTGCAAATATTGCAGACAGAAAACTGAGAAAAAAAAATCTTTAAAGATTATAAAGATAATATTTGAGCAAGAATGAGCAATAAACGTGGGGAAGGGGAAAACTCTGGCAGTGGAAGAGGTTGGCAAATGAACCAGTAGGGTCATTAATATTAAAAGATGGCTGAGATAGTCACTAAAAGACTTCTGTTTTATATTGTTTACATAATTACAATACTTTACAATCTAAGAGGAAACAGTTTACCTTGAGAAAACTGCAAACTACGCTCCTTTTGCTCTCATGAGATTATTGAATATATTTCAGAATAAGGAGGGAAATATTGATATTATTACCGCTTCTCAGAAACTCTGTAAACTAAAGTTCGTACTTATTACTTATTTTCAATAAGGACTGAAGGAAAGTAATTATCCCTGAATGCACGCCTATGAGATACTAAACTTTCATCTGATACTTCTCACTTGCTACCTACATAAGTACTGCTTTGTCTCCTGTTAGGATGACATAGAATGTTTGTARTTATAAGGATACAAGAAGTTACACTCCTTTGAATACTGGCCAAGCTAGTCAGACAAAGCRCACCACACCTATCCAGGCAAGAGCAGTATGTCCCAACTGTAACATCAGCCTGTGCTATTTCTTTTAGCTCATCATCTGACCCCAAATAGTTATAAAAATAAAGCTCACRGGTTACACAAGTTACTGTGGCTCCTTAAAGTGTAAAAGCTCCATTAACATTTCAAGYAGAGAAATACAGCTTAAAACTATTGTAAAATCTTAAATATCTTTGCACAAACATTTCCTATGGTTTACTTCAGTTTTATCAAGGGGATGATCTGCTCTCCAAGATGCTGCATCAGSAAAAAACATCTTTGTTTTATTTCTATGAAAGTCTTGTTACAGTTTAACAGGTCAACATGATTTAAAAGGACTGACCAACTGCCTTTCCTTGCACCCRTCTCACCTGGCCAAGTGCCCAAGCACCAGTAAGTCCTGGTGCCCAAGTGCTACCACACTGGATAACGTCAGCCACCACGTCAGGTAGGTTCACGGAGTCTCCAGAAACCCCAGCTTCTTCTCAACACTAGCAGTGGAAGCGGTATATCCATAGGGCACATCTTTAGCACATCATGGTGCAGCTCTGTTACACAGCTATTGGGGTCTGTCTGCACCGCCAGCTGCTCAGCACTCAGCCCCGCTACACGACGTGRGCACGTTCCCACATGGAACAACCGCCCTCTATCACACGCGTTGAGACCGCTCACCCTGCACAGGCTTTTGTGACGGGCTCATGACCAAACTGCCGCAACGGGCACGGTGTCACAGCGGCAGCTGCCGACCAGCAGACTAACGACAACGGCAGCGCCGCCGCGCGCAAGCGTTAATCGTCGCTAACGGACGCTAACGGTCGTTCGCGAGGCGCCGCGTAAAGCACGTGAACCACAAGTGCGCTTGCGCCGAAGCACGAGCGCAGCAGCAAGTTCCGTACGCCGGGAGGGTGTACGTGCGCTCCGCTCTGATTGGCCGTCGGCGCGGAGTGGCGGTTGGCGCCTGCGCGGTGGGAGGGGCGGCGCATCTCGGCGCGCCCGCAGCAAGATGGAGGCGGAGGCGCGGCGGCGGCGGCAGGAGCCCCTTGAGGGAGCGCAGCAGCCGGCGGTGGTGGCGGCGGCGGGGAGCAGCCGGCGGCCGCTGTCGGGGCAGTCCTACTGGCTGGACCTGTGGCTCTTCGTCCTCTTCGACCTGGCGCTGCTGGTGTTCGTCTACCTGCTGCCCTGAGGGCGCGGGCGCAGGTGAGCGCCGCGCGGGGAGCGGCCTCCGGCGGGCGCGGCGCCGCGGTCCCGCTCGGGC